GGCTTTGGAAGTACTTATATAATTTATAATTATTGGATTAATTATTATTTTATTTATATTTTCCTCTATTACTCTATAATTTATAGTAATAGATAGTAATAACTACTATTTTATCCTGTTCCTCTGGTAGATAGAGAATATATTTTTATATATAATAATTAAGATTAGACAATAACTTAGTAAAGTAGGATAGAGCTCTTTTCTTCTTAGCTTAATAAAGAAAATATTATTTTAAGATATTAAAATAAATATAAAACTTTCTTAGATCTTGACTGTATTACTGGTAAGCCTGTTTAAGTTAAGCTATAATATCTGATTAGAGAATAATAATATTCTGAATTAAGGTAAAAGTCTAATTCTTAAACTAAGACTATAATTTCTTAAGGGATTGTCTTACTTCCGGGCTTTTATTATTAATAAGATAATACTATCTCTGTCTATATACCGGATCCATATAGCTAATAATAATAAGAATCTTGTATTTCTCTAATGAATACTTAGGAATTTTCTAAAATATATATTCTAGATTAATAATCCATTCTTAGTGTTTCTGGAGGTTGAAGTTTAAAATAAAATAAAGAATATTTTTAAACTTAATCTCTTCCTTATCTCTTTTAGATTTAAAAGAGAATTAATAGTATCTAGAGGATATTTTGTCCAGGAAACTATATTTCTAGAGATAAGCTATTTTTTTTTATAGATTAACAGCCTGTTCCAATTAATAGACATGTTCTTTTAATTATTAGATTTCTTCAGTAGTAGGAATTGTATTTAATAATAATTTAAGATTAATATAATTACTAGATATTTTTCTTTTTTTTATTATCTTTAAGGGGTGGCATCTTCCTTAGATAGTTGAAATGAGAAGAATCAGAATATGATAAGATCTACTTGTTAGAATAGAAAGCCTGTTAACTAGGTAAGAAATCTGCTATAAAATATAATAGATTAGTCTAATAATCAACAAAGATAGCCTATATCCATGAGATAGACTGATCCTTGAGAGATCAGTAGCTCATTACAAAGGAATCAGCATCTTATAGGTATCGGGGAGGTGTAGAACCTCTATCAATGACCTCACAACTCTCATAACCATTGTAATACATCATTCCGATGCCCAAGGCCCCGATAGCTAGGTTATTCTATCACAAATATTTTAATAATATTTATTATATTAGAGTTATATATCTTTAAGAAATATCTTTTTCTATAATATTAATATATAATAGTCTATGTATATACTTGTAACTAATTATAAAAAAATAAAGATTATAATCTAGCCTACAGGCTGTAAAAATAATATTATTATAAAAATAAAATAAAAATTTAAAAAATAATATAATATTAATATAATTAAATTTATATGAGCTAGCAGATAATAAAAAAATATATATATTATAATAAATGGTCTTCTTATAATTTTTATATTAGGGTTTT